CCCCAATGCTTGGGGAATAGGGTTTTTTCTTGATTTTCTTTTTTGGTTTATTTTTCTCCTACAACAAAATCTCCCTTTTCTGGCAGCAAATGGTAGGGGAGCATAAAGATAAGATATTTGTTAATTATGCCATAATTTTGTCCTCCTACCCTAAGAGGCAACAGTATGGAGCACAACTGAAAGTGTGCAACCTGGATGACCRGTCACATAGGCCGGGCAATGAATGATCAGAATAAATTGTTTGCGAGTGATCCATAGGCTGAAATGTATTCACAGAAATGGCCACTGTCTAATTGTGGCAATATGACATTTATAACAAGCAGTACGCCGGGGASGCAATTGCCAGTCGGTAACCCTAAATTCACTGAATAAATTCTATGCTGCAAAGAATTAATCTAACTCCAGTGGTCACTCATTAGTAAACATTTTGAGCAATTATCTCTCAATAACCATGTTCTTCTCTTCACTCTCTTTAGAGGAACCTTTCTAGTAACCTATTTTTTTCTGTCTCCTGGGGAACGGAAATGAGAAGTGAAGGGAAGGATGCTTTTGAATGTAATTACAGATTGGCACGCAGTACAAATTTCCCCAAATCTAAACATAGGCAGTAGTAAAGTTAGCAACTAAAAAAGGGGAAAAAAGCTTGCTTTGTATGGAAAAACAGTTCACTTACAGTATAATGTAAAAACGTTTCAAAATTAAGCACCGGTGAAGCATAGAAATTTAAAGCGACAGCACCTTCTTACACACTGAGCATTTTTCAAAGGAAAATAAATCCTGTGTATTAAGAGAAATTGAGAATAAGCCACCTTATAATGTCAGAAAGGATAATCATATTAATTATGAAAAAAACTGTAAAAATTTAACAGTATATGGTTAAAAACATTTTAAAATATCCTAACATTTTACTCAAAAGAGGTCTCAATTGTGTAGCTTAGACCCTATCTAGTATATGTATATAGCTTGAATTAACATWGATCTCGAATCCTGCTGCAAATTGCAAGTAAGGGAACTTTGACTGCATAGTTAAAGCCAGACATGCTAAGGAAGAATCCTTAGCCTCAGAGGAAGAGCACACTGGAGCTGCAGATTCCTGCTGGAGCCCAGCACAAGCTACTCCAGGCAGGGCTGCTCCTCCAGTCCCCCTATGCCTGGGCTCTYAAGGGTTCTGCCAATCTCTCTGCAGGCTCCTGTGCCATGGCCATCACCCAAGTGCTGCTCGGGAGCAGGTGCTGACTGCAGAGTCCTATGCCAGATCCCTGGCCAGCCCTTCCAGAGGTGGAGAGGGGGACACCTGTGCAGGCTCCCCTCTGCTTTCATGCTCAGGTTTCTCTCCTAAAAGGGTGTGTGAGCAGTGGTAAAGAGAAAAACAGATATGAGCAAACTCCCATGCTATATATACTGCTACACTTTCTTTCCATTCAGTAACTCCTTCCATTAAACCTTTTACCATATATGCACTACTTCTTAGAGCTTGTATTTTTAACTGTTTCTCACAGCATTTGCTGGTATCACTCTCCATGCTAGAATGCTCCTTTTGCACCACAGCCATCCTCCTGGAAGGGACTTTGCTTGGCAGTAAAGCAGAGAGGTGGCCTCTCCAAAGTTTTGGGAAACGGAAGCAAGGAAAAGCAATCAAAAGGGGCCCAAAATAATCCCTTGCCTACTTTTTCAGCTGCCTTCTGCTATGATAACAATCCAAGCTGTTGACATCGCTGTTTATGAGCATGGAAGTGATGAAGGACTGTGGGTCTTTCCACAGTAGTCAGGCAGGAGGAGCAGGATGATTAGAAATGGAAAAAGACCCTTTCAAATGTAAAGGCAGGACAAAAGGATAAACAAAATGTAATTATGCAAGTGATACCACCCCCAAATTTCAGGAATCTCCCTTTTACCTTCCGTTTGATGAACAGTATTTATTTTCAAAGCTTTGATCCTGACCATTAATTCAGACCTAAAAGGAAAGACTGCTAAATCCCTAAGAAATACCTGGAGAAAATTAAATACAGATTTTTTTTTTTTTTTTTTCCTCAGAACACTCGAAGAATGTATTTTATTGTAACACTGAACCTTTTGGAAACAAAGATCCTGTTATAAAGTGAATGTGTAACCATAATAAGCCAGATCCTAAGGTCTCAATTCGATTTCAGCACAGGTTAAACTCTAATTTCGAAATGAGCTTGTCTGGGAATAGTGACCTCTGAAAAACTGCAGGATTCATACCATTTGTGCTGTGTGATCGTAACAAACTGGTTGTGAATGTGGAGAGAATTCAGAAAAGCTTCGTTTTTTCCTAATGTGAAAGCGTGCTTTTTATCCTCAACCTTGCACCATTCCCAGTCTCCTTCTAAAAAGAGCTATGAAAGGGAAAGTGTTTTTTAATTGCAATAAAACCTTTTATTAGCTATGCAGATTTCAGGATTTTGTTTCTTTCAGAAATATTAGGCTCAGATAAGCTTTCTGCATCTTTTTTCTTTAGAATCATAATCCACTATTTGTTTCTGAAAATGTAGCTAACAACATCCAGAGAGGCTGTTATTGTAACTAGCAGCCTACCAGGAGGCTGTTAGCTCTGTATAAGGACCTGTCTCAGGCTACCTTGCTCGAGCTCACTTCACTCAAGTTAAGAAAAATCAAGTACTCATGTACTTTCGCCGTACTATTCACATGCTTTTAGTAATGAGGAAAAATTCAACTTTCACACATAGAGGAACATTTGAAAAGCTGTTTAAGAGGGCTCTATAGATCCTGTTTCTTTCATGTAATATTTGTCAAAAAGAGTGTTTGAATCACAGTGCTTCTGGCCAGTGCATAAGGTGTTTGAATATTTGCTGTTGCAGATATGTAACTTTGTAACTATTTTCAACTCCCACTAGCATGGAAATAGCAGAATGTGAAATACCATGGACTAGCACTTAACAGCATTAGGTTATTCTTTAATGCAGGGCTGCCTGGCTTTTCAGATTAGATGGGTCATACCGTTTCTTCCCCTGTTGAGCCAGGTCTACACACCCCGCCTGCTTTCTCCAGAGCAGATGACCGGATCAGTATTTTGTCTGTGACCAGCGCAGCTGATCTGCTCATACACCCAGCACAGTTGATTTGCTCACACACAGGACCCCTGCTAGTGCCAGAACTACTGTGTGTGCCCAGCCTGGTTTCTCAAGAATACAAAGTAAGTGTTGCAATTTTCAGCAATACATGTTTATTCCACACACTRGTCTGTGAGCTCTGGGAAAGAGAGCAGTTGGGAAGAGGCTGCTAGTGCAAGACCTTCTGCAGCTTGATCTAAAACACCTTTTTTCCACCAACGTTTGCTTCGGTAGAGGCACCAAGTAGAATGGGTTGGATGAAGAGACTTGGTGGGCAGCAACCCACCCTAGGCACATCACCTGCCTTCAGGTTCCCTTGAAGCCCAGGTCCCCTTTAGAAAGGATTTACCAGGACTGTGCAAAGGAAAGAGATAAGCCAAAGTTAGAAGCTTGCTTTAGAAGAGAGAATCGGGTGGAATAAAGCCACGGGCTAGCTGATTCTCACAGGCCTTAGAAGTATCCATGCTCAAAGAGAACACTCTTTATAACATCCTTGCATACAAGGCAACCAGCCCTTTGGACCAGATTTCCTTTGGAGTGGAAGAATGTCATTTTACAGCTCCACATGCTCTGAAACGGAGTCAGGAATGAGATAAGTATTTATCACCTGACCTCTGCACAGAAAATTGGGTCAACAACTATGGGTAGCTCGAGAATAATATGACAAATATAATATGACAAATTGATAATTATGAATACCCTTTCTTTCACACTAAGGCCAGATATCTGTACATTGCAAATCTGTGACCCCAGTCCATCCTGGCCTCCATGCCGAGAAGGAACGAAAGACATCACCAGTGCTTTTTTCTTTGTCAAGAAAATAGAAAAGTACCTCTCTTGAAAAAATGGTATCACTACCACCCCCCAGCTAATTCATTCTCTCTTAACATCTTCATGCTCTAGTGATCAAATCATTAAACAGCCCTTATTATTCATTCCAACTTCTGCCAGGGATATGAGCGCTGTATCCGAGAAACACCTCCTCACCATTACAATCATCTTCATGACATCTCAGCAAGTTGATGCAATTATGCCAGAGAACCATCCCCATAATTATACAGTTCTTTAGCTCATTTCTCAGTTTATTCACCATTACTATAATCACAGCAAGTACAGTGTGTTAAATTAGGAACAGGATCTACAGTTAACTTCTCACAGGATGAAGAATCTGCCTGCTGCAATTCTCCAATGCTTTACAATATAATTCTGCAAACTTCTTAAAGCTGAAGCTCATATTTTAGCACATGATTGTTTTTGAAACAATTGACATTTACAACTCATTTTAAGATGCATATGAAGGATGTCTTTTTACGGAGGCAGAAAGGGCAAACCTTTTTCCCACATAATATCCAAAGTATTGCTAAAGATTTGGTAGGACTGGACCTCATTCCCTAACCAGTTATTAGGTTCAGGTTTTTATGCTATGATATATATGGACTGCCATCATATAGAATTTTTGCCTTTCAACTAACAGTGATCACAAAAACAGCTTAAGCAAATGAACTCTTAGCAGCCACTGATGCTTATTTGCCATAAGATGCTTTACATTAATGACTATATTGTTGCTATAAAAAATGCTCTGTTTAAAATATTATGCTGGAAAACAATAGGCAAATATATAATTTTCTAAAAAGAGWATTTTCATAAAATACAAACTGAGGAGGGTGTGAAGGAAGGTTAGAATAGAAGAACCATAAAAATTTAAATAGCCAAATAGGAAACCTAGGGCACTTCATGCCTGTGGCAAAAGTAACTGAAGTCTCTTTTACAGAGTGAAAGCAGACATACTAACAAGTTCTTCCTGTCTATTTCCATTTACYGAATCAGGCACAGCCAAGAAAATGTTGCACTTTGAGATTTCCAAGGAAGGCAGTGAATTATCGGTGGTGGAACATGCTGAAGTGTGGCTCTTCCTGAAGGTCTCCAAGGCCAACCGAAGCAGGACAAAAGTCACCATTCGCTTGTTTCAACAGCAGCGGCAGGCAAAAGGCAACCCTGAGGGAGCAGAAGATATGGACGATGGGGGGCTGAAAGGTGAAAAGAGTGAGACTTTGATTTCAGAAAAGGCAGTGGACACCCGTAAAAGCACTTGGCACATCTTTCCTGTCTCCAGCAGTGTCCAGAGACTCCTGGACCAAGGCAAGAGCTCTTTGGATGTGCGGATTTCCTGTGACCTGTGCCAAGAAACTGGAGCCAACCTGGTGTTACTGGGCAAGAAGAAGAAAAAGGAAGATGATGGGGAAGGGAAAGAAAAGGAAGCAGGAGATTTCACAGGAGAAGAAGAGAAGGAGCAGTCCCATCGGCCTTTCCTGATGATGCTTGCCCGGCACTCAGAGGACCGCCAGCATAGGCGAAGGAGACGAGGCCTGGAGTGCGATGGCAAAGTCAACATCTGCTGCAAGAAGCAGTTCTTTGTCAGCTTCAAGGACATAGGATGGAGTGACTGGATCATTGCTCCTACAGGTTATCATGCCAACTACTGTGAAGGAGAGTGTCCCAGCCATATAGCAGGCACATCTGGTTCATCATTATCTTTCCACTCCACTGTCATCAACCACTACCGCATGCGGGGCCATAGCCCCTTTGCCAACCTCAAATCATGTTGTGTGCCCACCAAGCTCCGGCCTATGTCCATGCTCTACTATGACGATGGCCAGAATATCATTAAGAAAGACATACAGAATATGATTGTGGAGGAGTGTGGCTGCTCATAGACACTGGAGTGCTCAAGACCCTTCTTGTTGAGAAGAAAATGTATCAAAAGCCCAAGAAGAGGAAAGACCAGAGATGGCATAACCTTTTTTGAGTGAAATAATCATCAGAAATATAAGCAAAAAACAAAAGAGAGAGAGAAAAGNAAAAAAAAAAAAAAAAAAAAAAAAAAAAAAAAAAAAAAAAAAAAAAAAAAAAAAAAAAAAAAAAAAAAAAAAAAAAAAAAAAAAAAAAAAAAAAAGAAAAAAAAAAAGAAAAAAAGACTTACGGAGGACCAGAAAATACTTCAGCTATAAAAAAGGAAGAAAGCATCATGAAGCTGGGCTTAAGTAAGATACGTCTGAATGGTGGTATGGGTTGGGGATTTCCCCTTCCTTTCAGTATGCTCCTTAATGCGTAGTATACTAAACATTAGTTACTACTAGGGGAAGGAGTTCTGTTCCGTCCCTTAGTTACCCATCACTTAAAGTCATGGTAGCAGCTCATCTAACCTGCAACAATTTGGACAAAGCCCAAAATGTCATTGAAAAGCCATGTGTGTGATCACTACAGTCACAGGCGTTTTCCCCCCACATTTACAGAGCAACTGAGTAGGTGTGTAGTGTTTGTGTTTGTATACGTATGGCTATGTATTTATATACATCTCTATACATACAGACACAATACATATGCATCTACTTAACATTGAACAAGGAACAATAGCGTGCAGGTGTATACACCTTCATCTTCTGCACTACAATTACAAAAAATTAAAAAGGAAAAAAAAGAAAAAAGAAGAAAAAAGCAAAAAATGAATGAAAGAAAAAAAGTTACATTCTGTAAAGGTGCTTACAAAGTTAGAACTATGCAACCTAGATGGTTTGAAACTGTTTACCTGCGAGAGAAAGAAAAAACCAGAGAGACTTTTTTTTTWAAAATGGAAATAACTTGTTTTAAAAAAAAAATCTTCAGTGGGAGATACTTGAAAGGAACATGTTTGTCCAGTTACTGGAGTCAAACATTTCTATATTTTGTAAAAAAATTTTTAATCGTTTACTATTTGCACTACAATGGTGTCTGACCTGTCTAATCCTTATTTAACAAATATTTGCAAGGGAGGGTGGTTGGGTGTGGGAGGGGTTGAAAGCTACACTTATTGTGAGCTATACAAGAACTGCTACAGCACACAAAATAGCTATTTTTATTATTATAATAATTATTATTATTTTGTACCTTAAAATGAATTGACACATACACCAAAGACATTTGTGCAAGCCTCTAAAAAGTCTGTTTGTGGTTGGTACCAKTCACCTGTAATGAGTTAGAGTTTGAATTAAGAGTCAGTGGGTTGATTATATACAGGCTAGAATATCTGTTAACCAGTTAAATTCAAATAGTACCCTCAACAGAAAATTGCCATTTGAAGTAAGACCAGAAAATCCCTGAGATTTGGATCCAAGGTCCWTCTGAGCATAATTGTACTGTTTTGTATGTACAAAACTAAACTTGGCTCTGATGCACAGCAACTATGAATTGTAAGGAAATAACTTTGTCCAAGGGATACACATACATATGTATATATTTCTGTATGTATATATGTATGTATACACAAGGTAAAGTAATTTCTGGCTTCATTTTACTGTTCTTAAAAGAATAAATGCATGTGTGCAAAGCACAGTATGTTAAAAAGCTGTTTGTTTCTTACTGCCAAGTGGGAAGCCACATGCTCAGAATCGTACTTGTGCARGAGAATAAAATGCTGATATCCACTTAAAAAATGTTGAAGTAAAATTGCAAGCAGCCTTGGGCTCTTTTCACGATTGCTCCTGCAAATATACAGAAAATGGCAGTTGGGGTTGGATTTCTGTTTGAAATATCTTTGCTGAAATATTGTCTCAACCACCACCCTCTAGCATGACAACTCTTAATGGGTTTGTGCATTACCTGTAAGACTTAATTTTCAGTGTCAACACCTAACCTGAAGGGTCCAACCCATAGGGCATAGGTAGATAGTGTTATTTAAAATTTTTCAGTCTCATATTTAAAAGAATGTTACACTTAGATCATTTGTCTTTTTGTAGGGGGAGATGGTAAGAGGGAATGGGAGAAACCTTTAGGCCCTGTTTACACTGAGTTTGATAACCCTGAGCCTGAAGTTTCAGACTYTTATAGGTTTGCCGAACCAAGTCCCAGTTAGATGCCTTCTGATGGGACAGGCCTCTAAATGCCTCTCCTGGAAAGAAGCACTGACATGGCTCCCTGTCTGTTGAGAGCACAGTCTGATACAAAAAGAAAAAAAAGGAAAAAATAAAAAAAGAGAAAAAAATAGCACAATATAACCCAGTCACACTGGCTAGGGATAATGTGTTAGCACCTTCATGGCAAGAACCATGTTTAAACAGTGTAATCAGGGCCTTCACTTTTGGTCAGCCAAAACTGTTTGTGTGTGCATGTGTGTGTGTGTGTTCTCTGTGTGTGCATCGGTATGTGCGCATCAGCACATGTCTGTATTTGTATGTATCTATAGAGATTAAAAAAAAAAAAAAAAAAAAAAAAAAAAAAAAAAAAAAAAAAAA